TCCCATATGGGCGCTGGTTCGAGTCTCAGCTGCTCCACTTCTGAACCAGCTCTCTGCTATGGCCCAGGAAAGCAGTAGAAGATGGCCCAAGTCCTTGGGTCCCTACACCTATGTGAGAGACCTGGAAGAAGTTCCTTGCTTTTGGCTTTGGATCAGCTCAGCTCTGGCCATAATTTGGGGAGTGAACCAGCAGATGGAGGAACTCTCTCTCTGTAACTCTTTCAAATAAATAAAAATAAATATTTTTAAAAAAGAAAAGAATATGCATTTTGAAGTACAGTTATATTCATTCTAAACACATTAATTTACGTATAATAATAATGTGCTCCCTAAGATCAAAATGAAAAATTAAAACCCTCACAAAGTAAAATCAGTCTGTTATGTTTATGTATTGGCTAGAAAAAAGAAACTATTTTCCTGTTTCTTAACTAATTCTAAATTTAGGTTAATTAATTAAAGTCACAAAACAAGTACCCAACTTTACATCAGAAGCTAAGCAGCTTTAATTTATTCTTTTTTTTTTTTTAATTTTTTGACAGGCAGAGAGGACAGTGAGAGAGAGACAGAGAGAAAGGTCTTCCTTTGCCGTTGGTTCACCCGCCAATGGTCGCTATGGCCGGTGCGCTGCGGCCGGCACACCACGCTGATCCGATGGCAGGAGCCAGGTGCTTCTCCTGGTCTCCCATGGGGTGCAGGGCCCAAGCACTTGGGCCATCCTCCACTGCACTCCCGGGCCACAGCAGAGAGCTGGCCTGGAAGAGGGGCAGCCGGGACAGAATCCGGCGCCCCGACCAGGACTAGAACCCCGTGTGCCGGCGCCGCAAGGCGGAGGATTAGCCTAGTGAGCTGCGGCGCCGGCCCTTAATTTATTCTTAAAGGATGTTTTTTAGACTATGAGTTGTCTCCTGGTGGGTAGAGTGGTTTAGTTTGGATTTCTAAATGATTTATTTTAGAATATGTGTCAATTTAAGAAAGAACTGACAGGTCATGGCCTTTTGTGATCTATTTTAAACATTAACTTTCTAAAATATTACATAATGCTATTTCCTAAAATACTTTAATAGTCCATAACCTTGAATTACAGTTATTATAGCTGTTTGGGGGATTAAATGAGATAATTAAGTGAGGCAAGTCCCTTTCAAGCACTTCTTTGGAGGGTCAGCTTCCAAAAATGTAGCTCTTGTCATTGTTAATATATTTCATTTAGCAAATGAGAATGCTGGTGGAAATGCTCCCTTCTTCTATTACTTAAACCGAGATTCAGATCATTGCTTATATTTATAAAATTCATTTAAATAATGTTTATTTTGGTAGAAAAAAATTTTGAAATCTATGCACAATAGTGTTTTTCATAACACACATTTTTGTGAACTTGCTGAAGATCCTCGTGTGGATTTGGGAATGATACCCCACCTGTTACTCTTGGACAGTCTGTGGAGACATAGTCCCTGCAGCTACGCTCTCCTCATTTCTCCTTCAGGCTGTTTTGCTTGCCCTCGGCCTTGCCCTCGACTTCCCTCTGCTCCAAGCACTGTCCTCACTCTCAGTGATGTCAGTGTCCAGCTGAAGATTCAACCGATACCTTTGCTTTGACAGTTCCTTGGCATTTCTGCTTTGGTTACATCATTATCTTCAAGCTACCCACTGGTACAGAACACCCTAGATTGTGTATTTGATTACTCAAAATTATTCTGGTATTACGAGGTCCTGGATCCCACTCTCCGATCACCATCTTACTTTCTAGCTCTCTTATTTCACCACTTCAATCACATCTGTTTTGTGACCATATGGAGAGATTTCACCCTTCACATCTGCACTTCCATTCTCTGCTTTTCTTTCCTTCTTTCCATATTTAACCTAGAGAAAAGACAGACAGACCGGGAGAATGTGTTTCCATCTTCTGGTTCATTTCCAAATGCCTGCAACAGCTAGAGCTGGCCCAGGCCAAAGTCCGGAACCCGGAATTCAATCCAGGTCTTCCACATGAATGGCAGGAATCTATTACATGGACCATCACAGCTCTTTCCTAGGGTCTGTCACTGGCATAACGCTGGAATCAGGAGTCGAAGTCAGGACTTAAACACAGCTGCCCTGATTTGCAACACGGGTGTCTTAACTGGAGTCTTAGGTGCTAACTAAATACCAACTCCTGCTGTGTCATTTTAAAAAAATGTTCATTTATTTATTTTCATCTACTTGAGAGGCAAATGAGAGCAAGAGCAAGGTATGTTCCATCCATTGGTTTACTCCCCAAATGGCTGATATAGCCAGGGCTGCCCCAGCCCAAAGCCGGAAGTCAGACTCAATTTGGGTCTTCCATGTGGGTGCCAGGGGCCCAAGTAGTTGGGCCATCATCTGCTGTATGCCGGGATGCATTAGCAGGAAGCTGGATTGGAAGCAGAGTAACTGGGTCTTGAACTGATACTCTGATATGGGATGTGGTTATCCCCAAGCAGCAACGTAACTTGCAGTGACACAATGCCCACCTTTCCACACTGCATCTTTTTTTTTTTTTAAACAGGCAGAGTTAGACAGAGAGAGAGAGAGAGACAGAGAGAGAGAGAGAGTGAGAGAGAGAGAGAGAGAAAGAAAGGTCTTCCTTCTGTTGGTTCACCCTCCAAATGGCCACTATGGCCGGCAATCCGAAGCCAGGAGTCAGGTGCTTCCTCCTGGTCTCCCATGCAGGTGCAGGGCCCAAGGACCTGGGCCATCCTCCACTGCCTTCCCAGGCCACAGCAGAGAGCTTGGCTGGAAGAGGAGCAACCAGGAAGAATCCGGCGCCCCGACCGGGACTAGAACCCCGGGTACCGGTGCCACAGGCGGAGGAGCCTAGTGAGCCATGGCGCCAGCCTCCCTTGGCTTTCAATAACAGTCCATTCTTTTTGTGCTAGATTTACAGCAAGATTACACTCTTTTTTTTGCAGGTGTTGGTCTGTATATAATTTCTCCGTAACCCCTTGTCATTAGTTCTTCACAGTATAAACATCTTGTTACCGTTTATTGCCTAAACTCTTTTTTTTTTTTCTTTGACAGGCAGAGTAGACAGTGAGAGAGAGGGACAGAGAGAAAGGTCTTCCTTTTCTGTTGGTTCATTTATTTGGAAATCAGAGTTACCCAGAGAGAGGAGAGGAAGAGAGAGAGAGAAGAGAGTGAGAGCGAGAATAAGAGCGAGAGAGGTCTTCCTTCCATTGGTTCACTTCTCAATCGGCCACAATGGCCACAGCTGTGCAGATCCGAAGCCGGGAGCTGGGAGACAGGAGCTTCTTCTGGATCTCCCATGTGGGACTTGGGCCATCTTCTATTGCTTTCCCAGGCTGTAGCAGAGAGACCTAAACTGGTACCCATATGGGATGCTGGCACTTCAGGCAGCAGCTTTACCTGCTATGCCACAGCACAGGCCCCTTGCCTAAACTATTGATAGACTGCAAATTCCTTAGACCAGGTGGCCATGAGGCAAGTGTCATATCACAGAGATTCCCTCTAGTGGGAGTTTACTATCAAGGATATTTCCTTGCAAGAAACAAACCTCCAGGAAGGGAGATTTGTAACTGACTCCTTCAAAGGTTCTCTATATGCACACAGAGGTTTACATTCAATAGGGACATGCAACTAATTATTTTTCAGAAAAGCTTGAGCATAAGTAGATTGAACTTTTTTTTAAAAGACTTATTTATTTATCTGAAAGGCAGAGTTAGAGAAAGAGAAAGAGAGAGAGAGAGAGAGAGGGAGAGAGGGAGAGAGGGAGAGAGGGAGAGAGGGAGAGGGAGAGGGAGAGATGTCTTCCATCCACTTTGTATGACCCAAATGGCTACAACAGCCCATGCCAATGCAAGCTGAAGCCAAGAGCCAGGAAATCCATCTTGGTCTCCCACATGGGTGGCAGGGGCCCAAGCACGTGGTCTGCTGCTTTTCCCAGGTGTGTTAGCAGGAAGCTGAATCAAAAGTGGAGCCTCCAGGACTTGAACTGGCACCCATATGGGATGCCAGCAATGCAGATGACAGCTAAGCCAGTTGCACCACAATGCCTTTCCCTATACCGAATCCATTTCTAAATTCACCCATTTCTAAATGTACAGGGAGAAATCTGAGTATCCAAGAGATTTCAATCATACAGAAAACTGATATTTTTAAATGTAAACAATGCTTTTATAATAAAATTAATCAAACAGATCTTTTTTGCCTTTTAAGTTAGCTTTCTCAGATATTAGATACTTCGAGTAAAGCACAACTATACACAAATGGGTTCCTATATGTCACTTGATTTTTACATAACATATGAAGAATCTCAAAACATGTGGGGAAAATAGAACTAAAATTTAAATTCATATTAGTACAAAAATAGCCGAGATGCGTACATTGTTTTTTGATAATATACATTTTCCATGAACTTTTTGAAGTAGCCTTCTATAGCCATTGAGTCTGCAGCTAGATTTTAGATACAACTTTTTTTCCACAATGGAAAAAAATAATGGAGTCTAGGAATCATTAAAATGCTGAAGAATCAAATATTAACGAGTTTACAGATAAGAAGCACTATTCCAAAAGCCCCTACTATGTTATGCCAGATGCTACAGTGATGCTCAGTCTCTAATCCTGCCTGCTATTGATTTGGTATCTTTAGTGCGGCTTGTAACACTTCAGTTGCTAGTGCAATAATCATTGTATTATCTCTTCAAACTTCCTCCCAATCCCCGGCATGTGGATCTGGCATGCTGACTTGCTTATTTATAATCCCCTGACTGCATGCTTGCTTACACTTCACAGGAAACAAGGCAAAGGTGGAGAGGAAAGCATCAGAAGGGTAACGCCCATGGAAAAAAGGTTCCCAGACAACAGGACACACGGAGGGGAAGGTAGCAAGACAGTGGCCAGAAGAAACACACAGAAAGGGCAACAGATCAGCTTGGGTGGGAACTGAGTAACCCCAGACTGCAATGCATTTCACGTCCGTGTGAGCCCTGCGAGGCTGCCCTCGCCCTCGCCTCCCCGGAGCTGCGTACCTCGGCCAGGTAGAACTCATCGTGCTGCCTCCGGAAGTTCTCTCCTTTGTAGTAGTTGCTTGCGGCCACGATCACATCCACGGTCACCATGCTCAGGATGAACATGTGGAACACAGACGATCGCATCATTTTCTGGGGAGGCAAAAACAGATCAGCTCATCACAAAGAACCGACCCTCAGGACCACAGAAATCATTAGTGTTTTCAGACTTCAACTGACCACATCATCGTGATTGGCTGCTGTGTGCCACCATGCTACCAAGACGTTTGTTCAATGTCTCTTACTACTGAGGGTGCCAGCAGAGGGGTCCTTCTCCTCAGACAGCTAACAAATGGCTGGGAAGTAGTCTGAGTCTTTGCATTAAAAATGGAAAACATATTTCATCTGTGTATAGTTCACATCTCATTGTCAGTGGTTGGGTAGATGATATTTTTTAAAAGTTGTATTTTTTTAACTTTTATTTTATAAATGTAAATTTCCAAAGTTCAACTTTTGGAATATAGCGGCTTTTTTCCCTCATAATCACCCTCCTACCCACAACCCTCCCATCTCCTGCTCCCTCTCCCATTCCATTCACATCAAGATTCATTTTCAATTATTTTTATATAAAGAAGATCAATTTAGTATATACTAAGTAAAGATTTCAACAGTTTGCACCCACACAGAAACACAAAGTATAAAGGACTGTTTGAGTACTAGTTATACCGTTAATTCACATAATACAACACATTTAGGACAGAGATCCTACATGAGGAGTAGGTGCACAGTGACTCCTGTTGTTGACTTAACAATTGACACTCTTATTTATGACATCAGTAATCAATCAAGGCTCTTGTCATGAGCTGCCAAGGCTATGGAAGCCTCTTGAGTTCGCCAATTCCAATCTTATTTAGACAAGGTCATAGTAAAAATGGAAGTTCTCTCCTCCCTTCAGAGAAAGGTACCTCTTTCTTTGATGGCCCATTCTTTCCGCTGGGATCTCACTCACAGAGATCTTTCATGTAGGCCATTTTCTTTTGCCAGAGTGTCTTGGCTTTCCATGCCTGAAATACTCTCACATACCGGGGGATTCTAATTCAATCCCATCAAGGTGGCATGTACCAATGCCATCTCACTAGCCAAAGGGATCAGTTTCAGTTCAGAATTGATCATAATGATAGGATTAAGTGTCAAAGGGATCACATAAACAAGACTAGTGTCTGCTAATACTAACTGATAGAATTAAAAAGGAGAGAAAAATCCAACATGGGAAGCTGGATACACAGCAGACTCATAGGATGGCAGATGTCCTAACAGCACTCTGGCCTCAGAATCAGCCCTTAAGGCATTTGGATCTAGTTAGATAATATTTTTAAGTCAATTTATCTTATTTTTGCTTATTTGAAATGCAGAGTGACACAGAGAGAGCTAGAGTTTAAAGAGAGAGTGGAAGGAGAGAAGAGAGAGGAGAGAGGAGAGAGAGAGAGAGAGAGGAGAGAGAGATCCTTAATCTGCTGGTTCACTCTAAATGCTTGTCACAGCCTGGACTAGGCCATTCTGAAGCCAGAAACCAGAAACCCCATTAAAGTTTTATTTCATTTGAAAAGTAGAGTTAGAGAAAGAGAAAGAGAAAGAGAAAGAGAAAGAGAAAGAGAAAGAGAAAGAGAAGGAGAGGGAGAGGGAGACAGAGAGGGAGAAGGAGAGGAGAGTGAGACAGAGAGGGAGAGGAGGGAGAGAGATCTTCCATTTGCTTGTTCATTCCCCAGTGGCTACAATGGCCAGAGCTGGGCCAGACTGAAGGCAGGAGCCAAGAGCTGCATCCGGTTCTCCCACGTGGGTGCTAGGGTGTAAGAACTTGGGCCATCTGCCACTGCCTTCCCAGGTTCTTTAGCAGAGAGCTGGATCAGAAGTGGAACAGCCAGGACTTAAACTGGAGTACCCATATGGGATGACAGCACCGTAGGCAGAAGCTTAACCAGCTATGCCTCAGCACTGGCCCCACTAGTTTTATTCCTTTCTTTAATTCCTCAAAGCAAACATTTAAAGACATGTGTTTATATGAGAGAGAGGGAAACTATATTAGTGACTGAAAGATGCTGTTATATTTAGAAATTCCTTTTAATTTTAACCTTGGTTATAAGGTTCTTGGACAATGGAAGAAATATGCACAGCTGCTGGAATCCCTAATTATACTTACACCACTTTCCTTTCTACCACATCTAAGCTTTTTTCCTCCCAGAAAACATTGATTTAAGGTACCCAAACTTCAAGCATTTCATACATAAAACTTTAGGAACGTAGTGATTCTTCCTACCCTACCC